ATGGTATTTTGGTAAAGGAAGACCAAATTCAATTATCATCCTACAACCCCATATGAGGATCAAAGACCTGCAAAGAGAGTAATACTGCATAGTCTTTCTAGAGTAAACTAAGTTTTCATCAATAAAAGCTAAATTAAGTGGACCTAGATCATAATCAATCGTCAATGATGAACAAGGGGCTGGGAATATAGCTCAGTGGCAGAGTGCCTGCCAAGCATCCACGAGGCCCTGGGTTCCAACTCCAGCACTGCAGAAAGGAAAAGGGGGGGGGGGGAGTAGAGAATGGAAAATAAAAGTAATCCCAGAAGAGAAGCATTTAAAATTCACTGCTGCATTTCTTTTTGCTCTCCAATGAGGACATGTTACATTAGTACTCAGGGAGGAGAAAAAAAATTAAAAACTAGTGGTAAAAGTCAAAAGGATTGTGTAAAGAGCTGGAAACAGGTCAGACATTGTGCCTTAGCAGAATGAGTCACAGTGGAAAACTACCTGCTCTTATTAATTCCTTCTCCACAGTCCTAAAATGATACCCACAATCCTGGTCTGTGACGGAGCAAACTGGGGAACCAGCACAGGGTTTCAAAGAGAGCGAAGAAAGTCAAAATTGGGGAGGAAAGGGGCTGGAGTTGCAGCTCAGTGGTAGAGTGCTTGCTTAGCATGTGTGAGGCACTGGGTTCGATTCTTAGCACTGCATATAAATAAATTGAAAAAAAAAAAAAAAAAAAGGTCCATCAAAATTGGGGAGGAAAATGAGGGTGTAGTCGCTCTACCTCACACTAGTGAGGTCCATGGTGAGGCCATAGAAGTGCTTCAGAGGACTAATGCTTGGTACCACTTGTTGGAGGTGGGTGTTTAGAAAACAAAAAGATCAGTTCAGGGTTGATGTGAGTCAAAGCACCGTTTCTCATGTGTTTGGTCTATCTGTCACAGACCTCATATCTGACTAAGATCTGAACATGGCAAGGATGAAAAGCCATAAGTCATGTAGCTAATAAACCTCATTTGCATGCATGGAAGGCTGACTAGGTATTTACTTGGCATTCTCTGTCCCTTATGATTATCATTAAAAATCTTACTTTTTGGTGGACTTTGCTTCTTGGGATTTAGTGAATGTCCCTTTTCATTCTTCCCTGATTCCGCACAGAGAGAAGCTGTAGAGGCAAATCCTCGAAATACTCGTGCTTCTAGGAGCATACTCTGACAAGAGAGTTAATAAATATGGATATTTAGAGTATTATCATTTATAACAGTTATTTCAACATATAAATACTACATATTACCACTACACATGAATGTTCAAGTAACTAGAGGTTATTCCAATTTCCATAATAAATGTATATCATGGAAACGTTAGAAAATACAAAAAAGTTGCAACAAGAAAATGCCCAGGTTCAAGGACAATCACTGTTAGCATCTGAGTTAATAATGAAGGATGTCCTCCTGTGTACACTCTTGTCATCTCCGACTCTGTTAACTTTCAAAATACATTTTGTTCTTTTTATAAACTGTTTTCATATACTTAGAAACAAAAATACAATCTGCAATTTAAAATGATGTACATAAATAATTGCTTCAGAAGTACTTACAATGGAAATGAAAAATACCATGTGAATTCACTCAGCAGGTAGTCAATAAGGCCTGCATACTAAACAGTCGATGCTCTAGATCCTGGCCATAGAACAAGACGTGAAAACATCTGTGCTCCTGACTGTAAGCAGGGAAAGTATATGCACACGCAAAAACTGAAAAAAACGTTGGGAACTTAAAGGAGTAAATAAACAGTGGACACGACGATGGTTTCCTCCCTCACCTGTACTTTACTTAGCAGTGACTACTTACTGCTTCTGGGGACTGGGCGTGTGGCGCAGTGACAGGGAACGCACGCTTGAGGCCTGGGTTCAATCCCAGCTCCAAGAGGGGGAAAGGCAAATACCGCTTTCATAATAAGATCCATTTTAAAATTAAACTAGCGGCCTTAGCTTTTCACAGAGAAGGCGAGCCCTTCTTTCACGGCCGGGAGAGGCGGCGACTCCTCAGTGGACACCAGGTAGTTACCGGGTCAGCCAGTGCCCCCATTTCACTTAACCTCGGGTGCAACCGAACAGCCCAGAAGATCCCGTGGTTGGTTGGTTTTCGGCTAAATATGGGCCCTGTCCTTAAGGGAGCCGCGCGGGTGGCACAAGTCACCGTCGGACAGCGGTTCTCCACGCCGGAGCGCAGCGGGGACGCCCGGGGAGATGCACACCTGCCCGCAGCTCCCCAGGTGACCCGGGCGGCGTCGGAGCCCAGACCGCCCGGCACGAGGGTCCGCAGGTGCGGCCGGCGCGCGCCCTCGCCGGGTCCCTGCGCGCTCCGGGCCGCGCAGCGGCGAACTCCTCCGTACCTTCAGCGGCCCAGCTCGTCCTCGCCGCAGCACCAGCGAAGCAGCCATGGCGGAGACGCGCAGGCCGAGGTCGCACGGGAGACACGCCCCGCGCGCGCCCCCACCGCCCCCAAACCGCCCCTGATCCCGAGCTCGCCAATCCCAGGGCAGGAGGAGCGGGGCGAGGGGCGAGGGCCTGCGCGCGCATCTCCAGCCGCCGGCTAGGCCACACCCCCGGCCAGAGTCTACCAATCGCAGGCCTCAGCGCAAAGCGGCCCTCCCCGGGCAGACGTGGACCCGGTAGGATCGGGTGAGCAGGCTCCCGCGGTGCAAGGTGCCCTTCGCGCAGCTGTTGGGGCCCGGTGAAGATCCGAAGTGTTTGGGGGGAGTTGCGCCCCTCTTCTCGCTGTATGCGGAGAACGGATCTGGCTTTCCCCTTTAACTCACTACGTTGCCAATTTCCTGTCTTAAATCTGAAAACTTTCCCAGGTGCACAGCCTCATCAGTTCTGCCCTTAGTAGCATTAATGGTCCTATTTGAAAGTCCTTTGTGTTTTGTGGGACTCATTTATTTGGCACTGGGATTGAACACAGCCGGGCTTAACCAATGAGCCACATCCCTAGCCCTTTTATTTTAAATTTTGAGACAGAGGCTATCTAAGTTGCTTAAGGCCTGGCTAAATTGCGGAGGCTGGCTTTGAACTTGTGATCCTCCTGCTTCAGCCTCCGGAGTTGCTGGGATTACAGGTTCACATCACCAGGTCGAACGTTTTGTGGGTTTTAAAGCTCCTCAGCACCATATCTCTGGGTCCATACCACGTGCCCGGTCTCCTTCCATAGCTACAACTGATCAGACACCATCAAGGTGGTCACCAGTCATCGTCCACCCTGCACGAACAGGCCTGCTTTTGGCCCAAGACAATGCTAACACCAGAATTAGATTGGAAATTGATGCTTTAGTTTACCTCAAAATTTATTAGTGCAAACATCCCACCACCCATTGGGCATAGTTTAGTTGTGGAGTAGGTGTTATTAGTTATCAGCTTCCTTCATGTTTCATTGAGTAGTGGTCTCCTGCCTCATCTCCCCTACTCCATGTCCAGTGCCCCATAAATATTTCACGGAAGATGAATGTTGTCACACCTCCAACTTCCACGGGGGAAGAAGCCCTTCCACCAACAATTCAATTGAAAAGGGATCCCTGACAAAGCTGGAGATTTGTTTTGCCCGTGGCAAGATATACTGGCAAACAGAGGTCCCTAGACCCAGACCTGCATCCAAGCAGAATCTGGATTGGAGTAAATGCAATAGTGGCCATCCTGGAAGGCAAAGAGAACAAACTTAGGGTCACCATCAGAAGACAGTCCTTTGTTCTTAAGAAGAAAACAAAGTAAAACATGCTAACACAAGGATTGACTCCTTCTCAAAACCAGACTAATTCCGCTGTCTCCAGGGACAGTTCCTGCTTGTCTATGTGTGGTGTGCTCATTTGACCAGTGAATAACAAAACTGAAGGTGATAAGCTGGGTGTGGTGACTCAGGCCTTTAATCCCAGCGGCTGGGAAGCTGAGGCAGGAGGATCACTGTTAGGTGCAGAACAGGCTAAACTATGTTATCTGCAGGGCAGGCTGAACAAATGTTAGCTGCAGGATGGCCCACGCACTCAAACCCCCCTCTGTCTGGTCCTTTATCACCTGTTTGCGTCAAAGCTGAACATTCAACCCCGACTCAAGGCTCAACACTCAACCCCCCTTGTGCCAACAAGGCAGCTTGCAGATCCAGAGGCCCCGTTAGATTTGGGCTATAAAAACTCCCTCCTGCTGGGCCCCTCTCTCTCTTGCTCTCTTGCTCTGTCTCTCTCTCTTGATCTGTCTCCCTTGCACGCATGCTCTCCTCTCTCTCTCTCTCTCTCTCTTTTCTCCTCTGTTGCACTGCTGCAAAAAGATCTCTTGGTCGCTCCGAGTGTTGTGGTCACTTTCCTTTCAATCACGAGTTCAAAGCCAACCTCAGCAATAGCGAGGTGCTAAGCAACTCAGTGAGACCTTGTCTCTAAATAAAATACAAAATAGGGCTGGGGATGGGGCTCAGTGGTCGAGTGCCCCTGAGTTCAGTCCCCAGTACCCAAAAATAAACAAAACCTGAAGGTGACAGCCACAGCTTTCACTTGGGGAACCTGTAACTGGAATTGGAAGACCCACATCACCTTCTCTGTGGTAACTGGAGGCCCCACTTCCCACACCACCACCAGGAGGACACATCCAGCCCCAGTTAGACATCTTTCTAGAGATGTAAGACTCAAGAACAAATAAAGACTTTGCCTGTCGCATTCCTCGTGACTAAAACACTCAGGGTCACTTCAGGGGAACTGGGCTGCACAAAATAACCACACAGAGACAGAGATACCTTTTTCTTTGGGGTCCTCTAAAGCTCCTCTGACCTTAAGGGTCTGTAGAAAAAGAGAGGGAGTGTGTGCTGACCCCTTTTATTGAAGAGAAGCCATTCAAATGAGGCAAGGGGTGAGGATTCGGGGGGCTGAGTCTAGCTTCATTCCACCATGCAGCCTGCACATTGGTTTCATTAATGAGGTTCTTGGCATAAAAGTTAGCTAGCAGAGATCGAAATAAAACACACAGACTCGGTTACCTTTTTCTATGACCAGGTCCAAGACGGCTCCCCTCTCTGGCTCCAACCTCGAACCACCCGTAGGGCAGCAAGGATTACTCAGGGCAAGCAGGAGAGAGAGAGAGCGAGCACGCCAGGGAGTAGCCTTTTATTGGGGAACAAGAAATTCAGGGTAAATTCCATCCAATGAAGGTTGAGGGGGGGCCGCACTCCAAGGTCAGGGTCAGTGATTGGGCCCCCGGGGTCAGTGGTCAGTCACACCCCCACACGGACGGGTTCTCTCATTAGGAGAGGGCCGGGAAAGTTCCGACACAGCCAGAACGCCTCAGACCCAAACCGGGAGTCGCCCAGTCACGTGTGAGAATGGCTCTCCACACTTCATGATGTCTGCTGTTAGCAGGTTGGACTGACATCTAGGAAGGCCACACCCAAGGGCAGAGTAAGAGAAGGGGACACACAAAGGGAGTTTCCATGGAACATTCTATCCCAAATAGGGCAAGCGGGTAATATCACAAAGGAGCGGGTGAGCGTAGCTCGATCCATGGGGATGCAGGAAGGCGCGCCTATGCATGAAGACACATTCTGCTACTTTGAGGATCGGGGCAGCCGTCTAGGGCCACTATGAATGTGGCCAGATCACTACGAAAGTGACCAACAGAGCCTCTACCGATCATGGGAAGGAAAATGCTGGTCACTCAGCATGACAGCCCCCGACACTTTGCCTGTCGGAATTGTGCATGGTTTGTATGTGGTTTGTCCTGAGGGTTGTGTGTTAGAAGCTTTGTCCTGGCATGGTGATGTGGGAGTGATGGGACCTTTAAGGGGTGAGTCCTAGTGGGAAGTTATTAGGTCACTGGGGGGTGCTGTCCTTGGCAGGAATTAATATAGTTCTCATGGGACTCTGGTTAGTCACGAGAGGGTTTTTTTTTTTTTTTTAAAGGAGTGAGACTGGTTCCTCCCTGCTCTCTGGTTTCCTGCCTTACCATGTGGTCTTGCCCTCTAGCTTGTGTTCCCATGGTGATGCCATCCACCATGATGTGACATAATGAGGGGTCCTTGCCAGAGCTGGCACCATGCCACTTGGAGTTTCAGCCTCCAAAACTGGGAGCTGCACAGACATCTTTCTATATAAGTCATCCAGCCATAAGGTTTCTTAAACAGCAACAGAAAATGGACAGATTGATAGATAAGGGATGCGGTCACCAGCCAGGCTGGCTTGAGAAGGGTGCATACAGTTGAGGAGGAGCCCTGGGGAGGAAGAGGCAGAGTGAGCATAGGGAGCTGTCTTGATGGTTTTTGAAGAAGGCTTGTGATTAACACTGTGAAGGTAACCATGACAACAGTGTGTAAGACCAGTGCCTGAGACTGGTGGGAGCTGGTCCTACGAGGATGCTAAACCAGCATTCTGGGGAGGCTGATGTGGGCCCATGCAGCATCTGGCCAAGTGTTCATCAGCTTTGCATCACTGTGGCCCATGCACCTGATAAGAAAAACTTAGAGGGGGAGAAGATGACTTTGAGCTTATGGTTTCAGAGATCTCAGTCAATGGTCAGCTGACTCCAGTGCTCTGGGCCTGAGGTGAGGCAGAGCATCATGGCAGAAGGGCATGGTGGAGGGAAGAGGAAAGCTTCTCAGGTCATGGCAGCCTGGAAGGCGGGGGTAGGGGACAGGAGTAGAGAAGAGAAAGAAGAGAGAGGAAGAGGAGTGGGGGAGAGAGAAGATATAGGCCAGGGACAGATACAGTCCCCAAGGCCACTCCCAGTGACCTAATTCCTGCAGCCGTGCCCCACCTGCCGACTGTTCCCGCTCAGTGGTCCAGTCAGATCATGCGCATCACGTGGGTTAGTCCTCTGAGGCGATCCCAGCCTTCCTGATCTGCTCACTTACCTCTGACCTTACTGCGTTCCTGACACGTGAGTTTTGCTGGAGACCTTCCAGATCCAAACCACAGTAGCCAGAGAGAGTGGGAAGGTCAAGGTCAGCTTCAAGAGTCAGATTAAAGTTACTGCAGAAAAATCAAAGTAGCAGAGGCCAGTGGGTGGTTCACGAGTGTTTGTGGAGGATGACTTTGTAAGTTCCAATCATCAGAAGACTGGACGAGATTGTGCTGCCCCAGAGGCACTCCTGCAGTTGTTAGTTCTCTGCCCAGAGCTCCTGTAGGCACCATCTTCTTTCCTTGGAGCACTAGCAAGCAATGGACCCAGGATTTTTAGATAAAAATATACATATTCATTGCTTTATAAATCACAAATGCCTTCTCATGTCTCCTAAGGGTAAATTAAAAAAAATACGGATGGGTACTGGGGGTTAACCTCAGGGGCACTTTACCACTGAGCCACATAACCAGCTCTTTTAATTTTTTTATTATATTTTTTAGTTGTAGTTGGATACAATCTATTTTGTTTATTTATTTATTTATTTAATGTGGTGCTGAGGATCGAACCCAGCGCCTCGAATGTGCTATATGAGCACTCTAACACTGAGCCACAACCCCAGCCCTCTTTTAATTTTTGATTTTGAGACAGGGTTTCACTAAGTTGCTTAGGGCGTTGCTTAGTTGCTAAGACTGGTCTCAAATTTGGGATCCTCCGGCCTTGCTTCCGAAGTAGCTGGGATTACAGGCTTGTACTATCATGCCCAGCTTAAGTTTCTTTTTAAAATAACTGTATAACTGGAGGATCACCGGGTCTATACCCTGACCATTTAACTTCAAGCTGTGGAGCCAAAGAGAGAAGTAAAAACACTAGATATCACCCTGTCTACCCTCAGGCCTCAGTTCTGCACCCCTCAAATGCATGAATTCTTGTTAAGCCTCAAAGGAGATATGGCATGGCATTATCTTATGTAAATGAAAAGCATTTAATTATGTATCTTAAATTAAGATCTCTTTAGTGCTTTCAATCACACTGTGATTTTAAGATATCAGCTCTGGGCTGTGAGTGCAACTCAGTGGTAGAGTACTTTCTTGACTTGCCTGACCCCAGCACTGTCAGGGGAATATTGTCTAGGGTAGACAGATATATTATGCCTTACTGAGTATGATTTTTTTTTTTAGGTAGAATAAAAATGGGTGTCTCAGGCTGGGATTGTGGCTCAGTGGCAGAGTGCTTGACTAGCACATGGGAGGCACTGGGTTTGATCCTTAGCACCACATAAAAATAAACAGAATAAAGACATGTTGTCCATCCACGACTACATTTTTTTTAAATGGGTATCTCAGCAGAGAATATAAATTTAGAAGATTTTTCAGGTCAAGTTAAAAATGAGGAAAGTTAAATTCCATGTACCTAAAACTGTTCTAAAACACATGGAATGAGTCCTGGTAGAGTACAGTAAGAAAGTGTGGCCTGATCCCCTGGCCTTAGGCTTCCTGGGGAGCTGGGCAGGGACAAGGTGGCCCTGCACACTCTAGGTTTCTGTGGCTACTCACCCACCAGGCCCAGTTCAGTCCATCCTGACCCTCGTGACAAGGATGTTGGAGCCCAGACCCTGTAGGCTGCTGGATCTCTGGCCTAGGGGAGCCAAGGACAAGGCACCCCCAGTGGCCACAGTGTGTGGGGCAAAGAATGGACCAGGACAGCAGGTGGACACAGAAGGCTCATGGATGCCCAAAGGCCAGCCATTTTAGACACCTGAGCTGCGTAGACCAGGGCCCTGTAGTGTCTGCTCTGTCAAGGACAAGACCTTACCTTGTCCCACAGCAAGGAATGAAGGTCCAGTGTTATGGGGCTGGGGCCTTCTAGGATACTGAGGAAACACAAAGACTGCCCACCCCTACCTTCAAACACCATGCTTGTGGTCAAGTCAGAAAGGTTTCAGACATGTCACTTAGAGTAACAGGCATGAGTTTATCAAAGGGAAAAGGGACACTCTCGGGGGAGAGAGTGGGTACTCTCAGAGAAGAGAGGGATGATATGCTTTTCCTGCACTCCAGTTTTTGGGCGATCCCAGAAAAGTTTTTAGAGAGTCCTGCCCAGGTCCACCTCTTGACTTTTGGCTGACAGCAAGGTGACATCAGACTCTCAAGTCCACACTGCCATGATCACTCTAGGTTATGCTGACCCATGTCTGGTTCTACGTGGATTCTTAACCACATATTGTTACAGCTTTACAGCTAGGAGGAATTATCCTTATATCCCTGAGTTTCAGGATCTGGTCTATGAAAAGGGTCACAAAATTCTCCCCATTCAGAGTAACTTGGGTTCCTCTTGTTGACATTTTGACATTATTTCCAGCCTGCATATAACAGGTAGTTTGTGTGCATGTGTGTATGTGGCGTTGAGAATCGAACCTGGAGCCTTGTGCATGTGAGGCAAACACTCTACTAACTGAGCTATATCCTGAGTCCTAACAGGGAGTTTTCTAAGGAACGTGACATATCCTGTCCACATAAGCCAGACAGGGCTGCAGGTAAGTTGCTGCTTGGAAAAGAAAGTGTATGGGGTCAGCACAGTGGGCCATTTCATAGAATCATTCCCTTACCTCGTGCTCCCACCACTTGCATCGGTCTGTCCCTATTACTGGAGGTGAGCGAAGCCCAGAGGAGCACAGGTAGACCAGTTGGCAACAGGTGGCCATCATGGGACTGCTCTTCCTTCTACCATAGAGAGAAATGCTAGAGAAACATATGACATTTGGCCAAGTGGAAGTACCCCCATCCTATGGGAAGATTTGTTGGCCATCTGTAGCAGGTCTGTGTGGACAGTGGGCCAGGCCCTGCTCTGAGCTACTCCGTAACCTATAGAACAGCAATTTTCAGGTTGGGCCTAATGCTGAGTCACTCCATTCTGTAAAACAGTAGTTTGCCATCAGCTACTCCATCTTGAGTATCAGGGCCAAGGTAGGGTGACTCCACACCTTGTTTGTACAAGTAAAAACCACCATCTGCCTGGCACTACCAAAAGGCACAAGTTGATAAATAACTAATATGTACCAACTTATCAAACTGAATCAGGAGCACCTGGACAGGTGGTCATCCCAAATCATAGCAGGAACTCCAGACACGGGTGCTTATCAACCTCTCCTAAGACCCACAAAAGGAGGAACCCCTCAAGATGACACAGTAGGACTCTGACCGTGTAACCTTGTCACTTGTCATAGGCCTTGCCCAGGAAATTGCCACAGTGTTGAACCTTTGAATCTTTGTCCTTGGGTTTCAGCATAGAGCCGTTTCTCCTATCTGTGACAGCCACACACGACCCCCTCCAAGCTGATGCCCTGAAACTGAAACTGCCGTCCGCCTAGACCCTCTGCTTTGACAACTCTGTGGAACTGGCTTGTTAGAGTCTGACCACCTGTAGGGACCCTGACTCTGCAGTTACCTTTCTCTCTGCCTGGGCTCTTGGCTCAGAGTCTGCAAACCCCAACTGCCTTAACCCTCTGGTCTCCTGTGACCTATTTATATATCACTGTGCAAAGTACGATGTGTGACTCGAGTGACATAGATCCTGGAGATGGAGACTGGAGGGAAAGAGCCTGTGTTTGCCCAGCCTGTGACTGCCAGGTGGCCCATGAGGGTCCTGTGGACTGCCATCATGAAAGTGGTGTGGTATGTAAATTTACTATTATTTGATAAATTCTGACACCGTGGAATATACAGATGTGTTTGGTCTATGTTAATGACATAGCTTGCTCACAATAATTGGCATAGTCAGCAGGATTCCATTCATTAAATAAGGAATTCAATGAGTAAAAGGACAATTAGCAAAATAATTGGGAATATACAATTTTTTTTTCAAATAGATTAAGCCATTTGGCAATATAGATAAAATTCAGCGTTCATATCAAAGACTTGTGAACAGAGACTAAACGCTTACTCTGCCACAGTCTGGCTTATGCCATGGAGCAAATCATTTGGAATGAAACCCAACTTGGATGCTAGAAGGTGTGCCCCCCTCTCAGATTGAGGGTGAAAGACTGGGGAGCTGGGAAGGCAAATTCCCTATAATATACGGGGTCTCGTCCCACGAGGGATTGGTTGGCAAAAGAAACATACAGATGTTAGGGTTTGGATATAAGGTGTGCCCCACCGCCCCTGTGGATGCAGGAGTGTTCAGAGGTGAAATGGCTGGATTTGGAGAGCCGTGAGCTAATCAGGTCACCCTCACTTGGCTGGACTGACTGGGTGGTAGCTGTAGGCAGCGGGCACGTGGCTGGAGGAGGCGGGCCACTGGGAGTGAGTCCTGGACCAGTGCGTCTGCCCTGGGCCCGTTTCCTTCTCCCTCTCTGCTTTCTGACCCCACCATGGGCTAAACTACTTTTCTCCACTGGGCCCTTCCCCCATGATGTGCTGCCTCACCTTGAGCCCAGAGGAATGGAGTGGCCATCTGTGGGCTGCACTTCTGAGACCGTGCGACCTGAGCAAACTTTTCCTCCTCAAAGTTGTTCTTGTCAGGTGTTTTGGTCACAGGGATGCAGAAATTGACTAAAACCACCAATAACAGAAAGAAGGTAAAACCGCCATTCTGAATCCTGAGTAGGGCACAGCCTGCTCTCCACAGCTGTGTGTATATAATATGAAAAAGCTGCTTTCAGCTTTTGCTACATCTGGCCATTCTAGAAGTGAAGAGGTTGCCAACGTGTGATAGAGTTAGAAGATAAATGCCCATTTGGTAAAAAAACAGAACACAAGTGTCTTCTGCAGGTGACTTTGAAATGGAGTTTGAGACCCCCTCTAGGAGTGGCACCAGGAATAACACTCCTCCACACTTGTTCAATGGGTGACATGGAGCCTTGAGGAGAGAAGGTCCTGTGCCATATGAGTCATGTGTAAGGGACGTTTTGCCCTCGTAGCCATCGTTTTGCGTCTGTATTTTCTCCATTGCTGTATAAGGTTGGCAATGCTAAGTGCTTTTTTGAATCATCTGGTATTTCTAGATGTTCTGAAGAACCCAATAGATGTTAAAAGTAGAATTAATAAAATGTAACACATTTTGTGAATTTCTTTCTGTTAAAACTCCTATGAAGGCCTAGGGAGGTAGCTCAGTGATACAGTGCTTGGTGTGAGGCCCTGAGTTCTGTCCACAGCATAGCAAAAAAAAATTAAAATCCTATGAAATGTTGTTTTGGGGGAAATAGCTACATCCCTGTTCAGTTGACTGGTACACATTGTGTACTGGTTCTCCAGAGGAGGAGGAAAGACAAGGAGTGCCCCACCAGCGAGCTTACAAGGAGGCACAAGTAGC